CTTGGACGATGATAATTTTAATGTGGGAACCAAAATTATCAAAGATAAGTTCATTAATCATTTGAGGTAAAAAAAATAAACAAACTTTATCTACAGATAAAGTTACTTGAACGGTTAACTAAAAATCAGTTCAAAGGTGAGAGATTTTTGCAAATGTGATATTGATGATAATTGAACAAGTGTTTTGTTCAAGACAAAAAATTAGCATGTAAATTATGGAAGCAATTTACTGATATTAAAAAATGAAACACATTTTTTGCTGAAACAGCATGTGAAAAAACAGAGCTTTCAATACACTTGAAACAGAAAAAAAGAAAAGGTCATGAACATCTGAAGGAAAAAATTGGGAGACTTGGCGTTTATACTGAAATTTGGAGAGAAACAGGATTGATACTTGACTTTATATGCAAGGTAAATCACTAATTACAACACTTAAGAAAATAATTGTTGAAAAAAACTCAAAAACTGTAGCTGGCTCAAAAGAGCGGTTATTTACGTGAATTATCAAATGACAGTAAACAAAAAAGGCTTACCTTTTCATCAAAGTTATTTTTCTCTTCGATTCTTTGTGCTCCTAAAAGGCGATCAGTTTCTTGATCAGTATCAGATTCTGAAAGGAAAAGAATGAAAGGTTAATAGAGAGAAAAAAGCAAACAAAAAAAGAGTAAAATTTGACTCTTGACATACCTTCATCAAGATGAGAATGGGTTGAATGTTCATTCATTTTGGAGTTTTCTTTTGATTCAAACGATGATTTAGGCTGATTTAAATTGGATATCTTTCGAGATGAGCCATGGTCTTGTTCATATCTACAAGAATGTAGAAAAGAAAAAGAAGCAAAAGTTTAGAGATGAGAAAAGGGAATAAAGGAAAGGAAGGTGAGAATGAGTGAGTTAGTGTGTAAGTAAGTGGCTGAGTGAGAAACAAAAAGTGAAAAAAATCAATATGAAGCTTAACGCACTCGATAGGTTAAAAACATACCAATCAAAAGTTTAATTAACAATTGGAGAGGGGGTAAAGACAAGGTCGGAGGAGGTGATCAAACCAAATAGAAAGAAGGAGAGTTTAATGTAAAGGGGGAAATTTTGGACTTGTTGGAAGCCATTATGAAAATAAATTTAGCCATTAATGAGTATAAACAAGCCATGAGTTATTGTGAGATGAACAGGAAAAATGAGAAAGGTTTAAGCTTTTAAGGTTCTAAGGGGTTTATGTTTACATCCAATGGAGAGATTATTTTTCTCTTCTTTTTTCTGACTTACCTAGCTTCAAAATTGGATTCAGAGACTGAACTATTCACTGTGGAGCCAAAGTTTTGTCCATTGCTTTGGTCTAATTGTAGAGATCGAGTTCGCCGAAAGTTTTGCCTGTGTTGTTCCATAGGTTGTCGGACTTCCATAGATTTATCATACATGTCTATTGGCTCTTTTAAACGTTCAGGATGAGAATTATCTGGAATGAAAAAGTGAAAAAAATAAGTTGAGGCGAAAGGTGGTTGAAATGAAAACAAAGGTTAGATTGCAGGG